GTGAGGGGCAATGGAGGACAATGTAAGATATGAAAATAATAATCTGTAACTTATCAAGGGTTTGTGAGGAGGGTGGGTGGGGCAGGGAGGGGGAAGAAATGCGGAGCTGATATCAGGGCCTCAAGTGGGAAGAGAATGCTTTGAAAATGATGATGGCAGCATATGTACAAATGTACTTGACACACTGGATGAATGTCTGGATTATGATAAGAGATGTAAGAGCCCCCAATACAAGTTTTTTTTAAGGGTTTTTAAGTAAAAAACCTATAAACAAGAGTTGGTTTGTCTAACCGGCCACTTTAAAAAAAATTGTTTCACTGGTCATAGAATGCATGGAAAAGTCCTCAAAAGTACTAAAAACAGCATTCAAGAGATTTCACTTTGACATTTTTAACATTTAGAACAAGAAGTTCGTGTACGATGTCACCTGTGAATGCAATTTCTAAAAATCCACTTTGAAAATAAATATTTTTAAATCGGCAGAAGAATGATACTGGTCACACACAGAATGAGGTACATCAGAGACCCCAAATTGTGTGCTGCAGGGATGGCAGTGTGACAGGCCCCTTGAACAGGTCCCGTGCGTTCAGTTCTCCCTGCAGAGCCCCACACTTCTGTACGTACCCCACTGGCCTTGAAAAGGCCCTTCCAGGACACCTTGTCTTCTCTCTCTTTAGAAAAGTAGCTGTGCTTTTTAGAAGTTTATCTTGCTTGCAACCAATGTGAGATGTACTTCTATTTGCTTGCTTTTCGAATGCTGGTGGCTTTGTTAGACGGATAACTGCAGCTCCTCGTTGTGCTTCCTTTTTCCGCCGCCCTGGCTTATTCACTGTCACTTGTTCAGCAGTCCCCACTCCCTCACCTCTGATTCCTTCTTTCTTGTTTCAAAGAGATGCAAAGACCCCTAAACATGTCTCTGTGAATTCTACATTACCCTATAGCAACTGTAAAGGGCAACCGGTTTACATAAAGATGTGTTTTTCTAAGTACATCTGTGTTTGCGACTTTAATTTGCCCCAAAGAGGGGGGACATTTGGTGTGGCACAAAAGAAATCAGTGAAGAGACAAATAGCCACTGGTCAGTATTCTAATTCGCTCGATTAACCTGGCTATACTAATGTGCTGCCCATCGCGTTAGGGATTTCACCAGACCTCAAGCACACAGGTCGTTTTCCAGCGGAATGACCCAGAGCCTGCTCGAGCTTTATAGACCCCATCTTGGCGCCTTAGGAGTGGTGCCTCCCTCTTGAGAAATGAACCTGTTTCAAAGAAGAATTTACACCTGGCCTTTTGAGCCAACGAGAGACCCGAATTCAGGAGCTCTCTCAATTTGGTGTGTTTTTTCCCTTTTGTGATGTATCTGGTCCTTTCTAGTTCCACACAAAAACACCTATTGCACTTGCACTTGAGTGATGGGGCTCTTTCTTCCCAGGCAAGTAAATCTTTGTTTCAGACTAGTTTGGTGCCTTGGGTTTTTTCCTCCTAACAATCCCACCAAGGAGGGTGGTGCTCACTCACCCTTGAAATCAAATCCTAGACTGGGTATGTATGTAAACCAGTATATTGGGAGGACGCCCCATGCACCTCATATTATGATAGGCCCTCGGTAGGAGGGAAGGAGCCAGACATCAAAGTCAAATATTTCTGCAGGGTCTAGATCTCATTCAGACTTCATTTGATTCTGTTCTCCAGCAATTTAACTCTGATTGGAAGCATGCTAGAGTCCCACTGGAAAGATGACTATTAAAGTGAATAAATATGAGTGCACAATAGAATGGGACCTACCATAAGGGTTAAGATAGTCGTGGCTTATAACCATAGTTAGAGATCAGAACACAGACCAAGGAGGGGATGGAAGTAAGGTCTATCGATTCCATCCACAGCCTTAATTCCCAGTTGCCATGTCAGGTGCAACTGGCAAAATCCCAACTCACTGCCATTGGGTCTGTTCCAATTCATAGAGACCCGAGAGAACAGGGTAGAACTGCCCCTGTGCGTTTCTGTAACTACGACTCTATGGGAGTCGAAAACGTCATCTTTTCTCCAGCACAGCAATTTGTCGTTATGAAAGGCCCCACAGGCATTTCTCTGCATCACCAGGGTTCCTTCCCATGAAAAGTGACATATGCACAATTTCAAAGGATTAGGATATGGACCTCTTTGGGTGAGGCCTTTATCCTGCCCACAGCCATATATTTCTCTTTAATTTTAATTATTTTTAAGAGCAAGCAATATGGTTCTCTCATTATAAAGGTAATGCCTGTTACTTAGAGAAAATGTGCCAAGCATTTTGAGAAGTGTGAAGATAAAACAATCATCCATGGTTTCAAAATTTAGAAATCATATCGCTATTAAAACCTTTGCCCTCCTGTTGCTGTTTCTTCTGCCTATTGATTTTTAGCTTGACATTATAATATCAGCCTGTCTCCATACCCATAGCATTACTGAAGCGCTATCTATAGCAAAAGCCTAACAAAATAACAAGTTTCATGTAAACCATACTTTCAAGTGTACTAATCCACAATTTGTTTTCTTGATGAATTTAATGAGTTGTAAGATAATAAACCTCATTCAACGTTATTAGTGAAATAGACACTGATGTTTGGTCTTCCTGTTGTGTCAAGTATATTCTGTTCATGTATTACAATGATTACTTTTAACTTTTTCTTGTCAGTTAGTGAAGTTTCACAGAGCAGACCATCCGCTTGACATTCAACAATTTCCGTGTACACTCTTCACCTCATTCGTGGCCATCCTCTCAATGCCCCATCCCCTATCCCACCTCCTCCCATCTGCATTCGCTCTTCTTTCCTAACCTTGTCCCGGATGCTTCTGAAGTGTGTGTGCCTCCCTAGTGTTATGGCTCACCTAATAGCCCTCATCCTTGTTCTTTTAGTATTTGAACAGTATACACACAGCAGTTCTCTTAAACCAGCCCTGCTAGATGGCTGGATACGTCTTGTATTTGTTGACACTCTTGGCCCAGCTATCAACACAATCCCAAATAAAAAACTATGTATCATCTACTTTTCAAGTTTTAGATGGAAAGACTGGATTCACAGTTCAAATATGCTTAGAAGTTGTCCAATGACGGAAGCAAGTAGCAATTTAAAAATGTAAATGAGTTAAACTTAAATGAAATTTCAATAGGTGTCCCCCCAGTCTCACTAGAGGAGGCCTAGTGGGCTACCTGCAAGGGCAGCAGTTCAAATCCTCAGGAGAAAGATACAGCTTTCTGCTCCATAGAGATTTACAGTTAGTGTGTGTGTGTGTGTGTGTGTGTGTGTGTGTGCAGTGTGGAGGTGTGAAAGCCCCAGGGGCA